AATGCAGTTCTTCAGTCAGGATGGCTTCCAAACAAGACAACTCACAGCTCTTTCTGAGCTGTGCCCACAGGCAGACCCTTCACTCCGGCCTACTGCCTCTGCCCTGGTCAGGCAAGTGTTACAGCTCTTTAGCTCTGCTGACAAGTGTTTGGAGGCACTCTGCCAGCAACCTTCCTGCCTAAAGGTGCTCAGCTCTCTCGCTCCATGAATCAGCACGCCCTCTGCAGCCCCCTTGCTGCATGGGCTGGGAAGACCACCGCAGCTATCTCATGCAGGTCTCCTGGTTCCCACCACTCATACTACTGCTGCTGCCTTCCTGTACTCTCTTGTACTGTCTCCAGCATTACAGCTCTTTCTCTCCTGTGTCTAGGAGGTTCTCAGTGCAGGGACCCTGGGTCCAAAGGATGCATTCTGCTCCAGGCTTTTCTTCTTGATAGTAATGAGGTTCCCCTAAACCTCTGTGGAATTGGCCCTTTTATAAGCCTACTCTTCCCACCAAGACCATGAACTAACCAATCTCTTTGGTAGGCCACAGTCACCAAATTTGCATAGTAATCGACCAATCCCTGCTATGATATTATGAACCTTATTTGCATAGTAGACTAACCAATCCCTTTGCAAGATATTGGCCTAGCAAATCATCTTAGCAGAATTACAAACCCAGGATCAGAAAGGCCATATGTAAACAGAAACCCGTTGCGCTGCACTCAGGGTTTCTATTTAGTAGGTGTATAGTAGGGCCAGAGAATTTTCATTTTGAATAACTTTTTAGGTGATGCTGTTGCTGCTGATCCAGGGACCACACTTTGAGAACCACTGCCTTATAGCACCTGTTTTAGTTGATTAAAAAAATAATAATAATAATCCTCTCGTACTGATTTTGCCACTATCTTTGTCCCTCTGAGCAAGCAACTCTCCCTCTCTTCACCTGTAAACTGAGTAGGGTGCAGTGATATGGGTAAAATATCCTCTAATCTGAAATTCCTAATAGGAAATAGATGGCACTCACAAATTAGGATACTTTGAGAAGATTTATAAAGCACTTTATTTAGAAAGGCATAAAAGGAAGTTGCAAAGAGTTAGTTCTGTTGCGCAGGTTAGAAACGATGATACTGTTACCGTAATCCGTAAGCAGGAGGCAAGGGGAGGAAGCAGTTATATACAAGGTTGAGTGGAACGGCCCCTCTGACAAGAGATGAGCCCTTCAGTTGGTCCATGATGGCCCCTTAGAAAGGAGGCCTGGAGAATAAATACCCCAACTCCACTCTCATCTCTCCCTCTCCCATCCTTCCTTCACTCTCCATTGGCTGAATGTGAACAGAAGCTGGGGAACAGAGCCGTGTCCTGTAAGCAAGTCAGGTAGGTCAGCCTTTTGTAGCATAAAGCAGAGGGGGGAAGGGTGGAGACAGCATGTGGAGGGAGCAAACAGAGGATATCCAGCACAATACAACTAGCAAATGTAAGAAGCAGCTGCTGGAAAAATCTATTATAGTGAGGTTTTTATTTTTATTATAGCTATTTTTTCCCTGTTGTCATTATGGTGTCTCAAACATGATCTAAAATCATGTTTCTTTGCCTGTTCAGACCCAAGTGACTGTAATTGCTGGTGTATAACAGATGTTGATTAGTCACACTCATTATAGTCTGGGGCCTTGTTTATGTCCCACAAATCTTTGCAGGTGTGATTGCACTTAGAAGGAGGCTTAGAGAAGAAGAGCACTGACCTGTACTTGGTTTCAGCAAGTGACCTGTTCATGGATCAGCGAATGACATGTTCATTAAGATCCGTCCGGTTTGGCCTGATTTGTAGTTCTTTAGAAGGGCTCAGACTTCCTCTGATGGGGTATTTTGTATTGTCTGGTTATGGTACCGTACCCAAAAGAGAACAGTTCCACAGTTCACTAAAATTACCCCTTCTTGATAATGAAGCAACTGAATGGTCTCCGCATATTGAGCAGGGCTCAAACTTTTATATTGGAAATCCAAAATTTATTAGTCTAAATGACTCTAGAACTCTGCCATTTTAAGACCTCTGCATTTTATCCAATATGAACCTAAGACAAGCAAAATGACTAAAGAGTAGTATGTGAAACAAATTGATTAACTATGTTTATTGAGCACTTAGTAAAGGCAAAGAATTGTGTGAGTTGCTGGGAGGATTACAAAGAACTAGTAACTACTGAGTCATATTTAGGAGCTTAAATTTATTTGTAGATAAATGCATGAAAACAAAAAATATTATTAAAAGGACAGAAATTGTCTTTAATGCTTCAAAGTTGAGTGTTCTTGTGTTACTTCCTTTCAGTGCTTTTCATAGCATTTATCACTGTAATTATAAATTTGGGAGAATTATTTGTTTAATATCTTTGTCTATGTCATCCCTGACATAGGTGGAATTATATAATTTTTTCTACCAGTGTGACTAGAGCATTGGTAAATGTCTGTTAAATGAACTAAACATCACATAAATACAGATATCAAAAATAAGTCACCCTCATCCATTGCTGGTGGGAATGTAAAATGGTATAGCCACTGTGGAAAACAGTTTGGTGGTTCCTCAAAAAGTTGAACACAGAACTGCCAAATGACCCAGTAATTCCAATCCTAGGTATATACCCAGAAGGAGTAACGGCAGGAACACAAACAGAAACCTGTACTCCAATGTTCATTAAAGCACTTTTCACAATGGTTAAAACATGGAAACAACTGACTTGTCTATCAAGAGATGAATGGATAAACAAAATGTGGTATATACATGTAATGGAATGTTACTCGACCGTAAAAAGAGATGAAGTCTTGATATAGCCACAACATGGATGAACCTTGAAAACATTATGCTAACTGATATAAGTCAGTTCACAAAAGGACAAATACTGTTTGATCCCACTTATATGAAATAAGCAAATATATAGAAATCAAGGATTATTAGGAGTGGGAGGGAGAGAGGACAAGTTTTTGCTAGTGGTGATTGAGTTTATGTTAATGGTGGCGGAATAGTTTGGCAAAGGATAGTGAGAATGGTAGCACTACTTGAAGAATATAATCATTGTCATTAAATTATACATGTAGAAATTGTTGGATTGGCAAATGTTTTGTTGTATATATTTTCACCACACAGACACACACACACACAAAGTGTTACTACTTGAAAGTAGATAAGCAAACACTTACTGAATGTCTATTGTGAGCCAGATGCTTTACATAGGTTATCATTTCAGCAGCATAGCCAAGATGAAAATTATAAACAGGAAGGCGAGGTCACACCTAATTGCACAATGCCTCTACCACTCATGCTGCCTGCTAATTATGCGGATTCTGTCTCCCTTTGTCTCTGCTGGCATTTGTGTTTCCTCCTGTGTATCTGGCATCATTGTATCTACACCTTATCATATTTAGTGATTTTGAAGTGAATCTCAGTTTGCAGAGGGTTTCACATCCATGAACCAACTAATCCTCATAGCAGCTCTGTTGGAGGAGATAATATTCTCCCCACTTTATGAAAGAGGAAACCGAGACTCGGAGAAATATGGTGACTTTCCCAACATAACACAGCAAGTAAATAGCGGAACAGAACTTAAACCTGGGACCTCCAATTCTAAATCTAGTGCTGTCCCAGACAGTGGAACTGTACTGTGGCTGTCTGCAGTGATAGTGACTCGTTGTGAAGTGGCTGAGTTTCCTTTTTTTTCCTCTTCTCCCTTAGTGCTAAATTTTTGAGACAAAATTAGGATTAGCGTTTAGAATGCTCAAGCGCTGCAAGGTGATTTTCCCCATAGATTTGAATCAAATGAGTGAATAGCATCCAGAAAGGTTAATCTGTTTACCCAAGTAGAACATTTTGCACTGTAGAAAAAAATGAGGAGTTGCATTGCTGTGCTGTTCCAGATGTCCTATGCTTTGAGCTGCTTTATTTGCATTTGATATTTCAAAGCTTGCGATCAATTTACAATTATAATTGCCATCAAAATTTAACTAGGATTTTGTGAAGGAAAACATCAATTTACATTATTCTGCAGAGTTGGAAAATATCTAATGATTTATAAAATAAAAATGGATTTCATCAAGACAAGTGAGTACAAAATTGCTGTTGCTGCTCTGTGTTGTAATCATTTCCTAATACAAGATCCTGTTATTTTCATACATACGTTTTACATTCACTGTGCTAGTCCATAATAAGATAATTCTAATCATTAAATTATACAACTGCTCTAAGAGAACGAAGAGCACAAACATGAATAAGGAAATGAAACAGCTGATTATAAAATGTGCATCTGCCCTCTAAGTAGCACTTGTAACTAGATTAACAGTGAACCTTATGTAAGTTGTTTCTTTTCACATCTCTAAAGAAATACAAAAATGTACTCACTACATATGCTATTAATAGAATTCTTGTCAGTGCGTTAGAGGAATTATTAGAAATAGCTCCGTTTCTTTAAACCATAATAATAGCACAAAGAAGATATTATAAAGTGTGCACTGAATGTATTGTTTTAAAAATTAACAGATAATAACATTTATTAAGTGCTTACTATGTGCTAGATGCTGTGCTAAGCACATTAAATGCATAGATCATTTAATGCTCACAAGAATCTTTTGAGAATAGGCACTTGCAACTATTTTGAACTCTTTCTTTAAAGATGAAGAAATTAAAATTTTGAGTGGTTAAGTTCCTAAGATTCCCTAGCCAGTAACAGGTAGAGAAAGCATAAAATAATAGATTTTTTTTAAGTCAGGAAAAGGCAGAAGGTACTAATATTGGTTCTGAATTGTATTATTAGTCTGATAAAAATAAAATAATTGATTTGCAAATTATAAAAGATCAGAATGAGAAGAAATCATAGATTAAAACAATAGCAGAGACTATTGCCTTACTCATTTTCTGTCTCCTCGCATACAATGTTATTGTTGTTCGGTGCCTTCGAGTTGATTTGGACTCATAGGGATCCCACGTGACAGAGTAAAACTGCCCCACAGGATTTTCTAGGGTGTAATCTTTATGGGAGCAGATCACCAAGCCTTTCTCTTGTGGAGCCTCTGGGTGGGTTCAAACTGCCAACCTTTTGGTTAGCAGCCGAGTGCTTAATCATTGCACCACCAGGGCTCAATTTTGAGACCTTCTTGCATATAGTAGCCCACAGAAAATGTTGAATCGAATTTTATCTGGTCTTAAAGTCTTCCGTGAATAAGGAGTTTGCAATACAATCTGTTCTTGTGAAGTCTAAAAGTATCAAAAACATCTTTTATCTGTTAAGTTACAGTCTTTTTCCCCATAATTTCCCCCTGTCGAAATTGTCCGATCATGGAGCATTAATGAGTAAAATCAACATTGATAGGATAATATTGATATTAAAAATGGATGAAGCAATTCAAAATGAACTATCAGCAGCCCAGTATGAGTTTAAGCTCCTGGACTACATTTACCTCATAGCAGTGGTTTTCCTCTTTTGCTTACCTTTGGATCACCTGGGGAGTACTTAAAACACACCTACGCATAGGTCCCACCACAGAGCAAGTGAATCTAAACCTCTGGGCTCCGGTGAGTTTGGGCATCAGAATTTTGAAAAAAAAAAAAACTCCCCAGATAATCCTAATGTGCAGTCAAGTTTGAGAACCACTGTTACAGAGAAATGCACACTAAATATGGTTATTGCCAGGCAAGGAGCTAGCTAGCTTCTCAGGCAGGATCATCCTGGGTGGCATTGTTTTTATGAATTCATCAATCTTTGATGGTCCAAAACCTGAATCTAACCCTTCATAGGAGTTAATCAGAACCTAGGAAACTGATAACATGTTAACCAAACTTAAAATTGTCTGATATAGAAAAGAGAATGCGTAAACTATGGAGGGAGCCCTGGTGGCACAGTGGTTAAGAGCTCAGCTGCTATCCAGAAGGTTGGCAGTTCAAATCCATCAGCTGCTTCTCGGAAACCCTGTGGGGCAGTTCTACTCTGTCCTATAGGGCTGCTGTTAGTTGGAATCGACTCGACAACAATGGTTTTTTAAACTATGGGTACTTTTCATAGGAATATCCATTATCTGTAAACCTTTTCTTCTTTTTTAGTTATCTGGACAGCCAAATTTATTATCAGATCATTGCTGTGGGAGACCGGACTCTGGGCAGAGAGAAGCTATAGTCCTAGGATATTTTGCTTAATTTCAGGTATAGGAAATCCTGTTGAAAGGTCCCTGCCTCCAAAACAAATGACAATGCTCTTTTGTCTGAATTCTGGTGTCCTATAGATTCAAGGTCCCCTGGGTATTTTACATAAACATTTCTTTGACTCCTGTTTTTCTATGGTTTCATACTTAACCCCCTTCCACTGATACATTCTTTCTTTAGCTATAACACTTTATTTTATAGTTTTTAACATTGGCAACCTTCTATCTCTATTGTGCTTCCTTGATTATATTAGTCAAGACTTCTGGGGTTCCTGAAGCCTAGACTATAGAATGCTCATCAAATGTGTGGAAGATAGGAAGCTTGGCAGGATAGAACAAACATTAGAAAAGCAGTTAGTTCTTAACCTACTTTTCTGCTGAGACATTCATCAAGGGTGATGTTCCCTTGCATCCCACACTCCCATGGGCATACCCAGATTTTGAAAAACCTGTCAAATTATCTCTATTTCCTGTTGCTTTATCTGGGTCTCTCTCATGTTTTAGGCTTTCCTCAAATGTCTGATGATTCTTGATTGTCCGTTCATATTTAGGAATGAGTCAATCAAAAAAGATGATTTGCAGCTCTGTGTGCAAGGGTAGGTTTAGCTTTAGGGTAATCAGGCAGAGTGAGTAGACAGAACATTAAGCTGGGTACTTTTCTGCCCGCCACCGCCACACACACATCCTGGGAGGCATCAGTGCTCTAGTGCTCAGAAATACAGTCAAGCTCTTTAGAGAAACTGTTCTAGTTTTTTGCTTGGGGACTTAAGTGGGAGTATAAACATCTAGAGGTCTATGAAAAGATTTTTGACTATTTTCCCTATTTTTCAGCCTGGGACTCATTCTGGCTTCCTTTTCTGCTGCAGCCCCTAGGGTTTCACTAGCTTGAGGCTATCTGTGTCCTGCCACACCATTTATTGTTGTAGTTAGCTGCCTATCTCAGTTATCCAGTGCTACTATGACAGAAATACCACAAGTGGGTGACTTTGACAAACAGAAATTTATTTTCTCACATTTTAGGGGGCTAGAAGTCCGAATGCAGGGTACTGGCTCTAAGGAAGTCTTTTTCTCTCTGTCAGCTCTGGAGGAAGGTCCTTGTCTCTTCTGAGCTTCTGCTCCTGGCGATCTTCATGAGGCTTGGCATCTCTCCTTCTCCATCACTGCTTCTAGCTGGCTTGTTTAATCTCTTTATATCTTGAAAGAGATTGACTCAAGATACACCTTACACTAATCCTACCTCTTTAACCTAACAAACACGACCCATCCCAGACGGGATTATAACCACAGGCATAGAGGCTAGGATTTAAAACATGTATTTGGGGGCGACACAGTTCAATCCATAACATTCCATCGTTTCCCCCCCGCAAATTCATGTCCTTGCCACATGTAAAACACATTCACCCATTACAGGATCGCAAAAGTGTTAAATCAACTCCAAGTCCAAAATCTCATCTTCTGAGCCATCTAAATCAAATATGGGTGATATTTTAGGCATATTCCATCCAGGGGCAAAATTCCTCTTTATCTGTTACATATAGAATATACAACCTACCAAAACCAAAACCCATTGCCATCAAGTTGATTCTGACTCAGTGACTCTATAGTTCTGTATAACTAATAAAATACACTAGTGGTGGATGATTGGCAAGTGGGTTAATTTTACAAATATAACCGTAAGATCACTTTTAGGACACTGTATCTGTATTGTCAATCCCTTCTTTTATTCACTGGTTGAGATAGAGGAACTTAGCTGTGATATGACATATTTTATGTGTAAGGCATTAGGAGCTCTTGAGTTTCTTTGGGATTTTTCAGGAGCTCTATGTTTTGACCACTTAGCTCTTTCTTATTTCTTTTCTCCGTTATTAGGAACATCCAGCCTATCGTATCCTGACATTTGAAAAGTCAGTATTTTTCCACACACTAGTAAGTATATTCTACTTGAAATAGGTTGAACAATAAAATTCTGATCCCTTTTTGTTAGGACAGTGATTTTAACAAGAGAAAATAGCACTACCTAAGCCGGTTCTGGTAACCTTGAGTTCAACAGGTATGGTAACTGATATCCTAATAGTTTTGACAAGTAATCGTAAAAATGTAACATTCTTGACACCATTTTAAGATTATCCCTCCAAAATAACTTTGTATATCTGTCCAAGTTGCTTCTTAGAATGTTTATGTTCATCAGCAAGCATCTTCAGATTGTTAAATTATAATTTCTCAAGTGAAGTTGTGGGAGATGAATGAAATTAAAGTCTTTCTTCCTTCCTTCCTTCCTCCCTCCCTCTGTTCCTACTTCTCTCTCTCTCCCCCTCTTTTCTTTCTCCCTCCCCTCCCTTCCCCATTTTTTCTTCCTCCTTCTCCTTTCCCTCCCTCCCTCCGTTCCACTGTTCCTCCTTCTCTCTCAACCCTTCCCTTCCTCGTTCTCTCTTTCTCCATCTCCATGTTTCCTTCTCCCTCCCCCCACTTCTCTTCTTCCTCCCTCTCTCCCGTCCTTCCTTTTTTCTTTATTATGAAAGCCTTACTATCTTTCTGCTTCTTTTAAACTGATAAATATTGCCATTAAATACTCACTACAGATGTTTCTGCTCTCCTTCTTGCCCTCAGTTCATCAAATGAAAACAAGTTAATTGTGCTTATATACCACCTATTAAATCCTGAGTGTCTTTAGGCCGGAAACAGCATGCCCTTCAAAATACCTAGAACAGTTTTACTCACAGTACACGTGATCCTGAGAAATCTCTTAGCCTATCTGTGGCTTTGTTATTTTATTTATACACTAGGATAACAATTCTTGCCCTCCTTGTATACCTCACTAGATTGTCTTGAGATCTTATATTATAATAATGATAATAATAATACATAACTTTTGTTCAGATCATAAAAGCTTTCAAAATATTCCTACATACAAGGTGATGAATATGAAAGCACTTTGAAAGTATAAAATGGCAAAGCTAATGCAAAGCATTACTTTTATTAGCAAACTTAAAGAAAACTTCTACACTGAAATAATTACTTTTGATGGCATGGAGCATTTAATTTTATTTCTCAAATTACAGATTTGTCTCATGAAGGTGATGTGCTTAACAACATCAGCACGTGTGAAGCAGGGCTGGCATAATGCATAAATGTAATTCCAGGCATGTTGGCAACAAACCAAAAAATTGTGCTTACTTTTGTCATAGGTTGAAATGGAAAATGATCATCCCCTTTGGTGAGTTTTGAAGAGCTAACAGATTGTCAGTAATATAAAACAGGATGTAATTTTGCATTGATAACAATTTAGATAAAATATAAAAGTTCTGGTGTTAGAAAGAACACACATATCTAATTGGTCACTTTGAAAAGAGCATACAGTGTTCATATTTCTGCAGCATTCAAGTACATAGTAGAATGATGGAATGTGTTATTGGTGAAAGTAACTTTAGGGATTATCTACTCAGTTATTTTTACAGGAAACCGAAACATGGAAGGGCAAAATGTTTTCACTATGGCCACGTGGCTTTTAATGACTGAGACAGATTATTTCTTTATACTTCCCCCCATATTTTACCTACAGTTGTCAAATACTCACTAAATTGAGCTCTCTGAGGTCAGGGATTGTGACTCATCAATATCCATCCAACCATTCATCCATCCATTCACCATCCGCCCGTCCATCTATCCATTCATCCATCCATCCATCTGTCAAGAATTCATTAAACTTTAAAGCCTTCTATGTACTAGTGTTGTACTAAATGATGCAGATACAAGGGTAAATGAGATGAGGCAGCTGATCTCAACAAGCTTGTGGTCTGCTAAGAGGCTGAGAGAAGTGTCAGTAATTGAAATACGGTGTAATAAATGTAGTAAATATTAGAGACACACACTGTTGTTGTTAGTTGCCATCAAGTCAGTCTCGACTTGATATGTGCACAGTAAACTGCTCCACAGGGTTCTCAAGGCTGTGACCTTTCTGAAGCAGATTGCCAGGTCTGTCTCCTGAGGCATCTCTGGTTGGGTTTGAACTGCCAATCTTTCAGTCAGTGGTTGAGCGCTTAACCGTTTGTGCCACCAAGGGACTCCAGAGACACACACTAAGGGACCATAAAAAAGGAGGGAATAATTACCTCTACAGAGTAAGTCAGAGAAGTGTTTTGAGAAGAGATGCTTGAGTTGCATCATGAAAAAAAGTCAGTTCCTCAGCTAGCAAGGTGTTGGCAATTCATTACATGAGTATTTCAATGATCAAGACTTAGTGACTTTTCAATCAGTCTCTGATGTTACTATTAAATATACATAAATTGTTTCAGTGAAAAATTTCCCCTATAGTATTTGCTCTGTGGACTCTTTGTAAAAAAATAAATTAATTAACTTTTTTTGCTGAGCACGACATTTCTTCATCCCAGCCCTGCCTTAAGATGGTAGCTTTGATTTTCTAAAGCTTATATATGTTTCAGAAGAACTAGGACAAAGCAGTAAAATGATCATTTGTTTTCAGACTAAAAGATAACTATCCTTGCAGCTTTTCCTTACAGAAGATTTCCAGTTACTAAATGTTAAACCAGCCCCACTGCCATTGAGTTGATTCTGACTCATAAGATTTCCAAGGCTGTAAATCTCTACAGAAGCAGACTGCCACATCTTTCTCCTGCGGAGCAGCTGGTGATTTCAAACCGCTGACGTTTCGGTTAGCAGTTGGTTGCTTTAACCAGTGTGCCACCAGGACTACTTAGTAAATGTAAACAGAATGAGAAAAACAGAAAATCATCACTAAAACACTGCAATAATAATAGTTGCAGGCAAGACCCGCCAAGGGATGCTAAAATTATTTGCTTGAAGTTTGAGAGGAAACAAGTATATTTGTAGTCTCAAAGTATCTACCCCAAGATATTTATTAATTACAAAGTGAAAGATACTACTTTACTGTGGAGAAGCCCAGCAGATACCACATTCACCAGGTGATCAAGTTTAATATCAATAGTAATAAGATGTATTGACTTCATGCACTTCCTAACATGATATGCTTAAAAGGGTACATCACTTCTAAGGGACATTCTACAAAGTATCTGACCAGTACTTTTCAAAAAGCAGTCCTTGGGTGGCACAAATGGTTAAGTGCTTAACTATTAGCCAAAAGGTTAGCAGTTCAAACCCACCCAGAGGTGCCTTGGAAATAAGGCCCTGGTGATCCGCTTCTGAAACGTCACAACCTTGAAAACCCTATGGAGCTGCTGTACTCTGCACACATGGGATCTCTAGGAGCTGGAATGGACTGAACAACAACTCTTCAAAAGTGTCAAGGTCATGAAAGATAGATTGAGGACTGTCACAGGTTGGAGATGACGAAGGGATTTTAAAATTAAATGCAAAGTAGAATAATGAATTCGATTGTAGAATCAAAAAAGAACATTAGTGGAAAAACTGGTAAAATCTGAAGAAAGACCGCAGTCTGTTTGATAGTATTGTACCATGTTTATTGCTTAGTTTTGATAATTGTGTTAGAGTTATGCAACATGCTAGCTTTAGGAGAACCGGATGAAGGGTGAAGGATACATGGCAACTCTCTGTTCTCTTTTTGCAACTCTTGTGCGGTCTAAAACTGTTTCAAAAAAAAAAAAAAAAATGTCTTTGCGTATTAGGGATGCTTCTAAGTGATTTGGCATTTGAAGACAAGTCTGTGATGTTCAGAGTTGATTCAAATTGTTTCATTAATGAAAATTTTAAAACAGAAAAAAAATGGATGCATTTCTGTAAGAACTTCATTCTAGAATTTAAACAGTATAGGATCTTTTACTGAAACAATCACCTTGAGTTGGAAAGATGTTAGGATTAGTATTAAACTGCGTCTCCTGCCTCACCTGTGTTTAGATATTTACACTGCGAATAGTATACAATACCAAAAAAAAAAAAAAAAAAAGTGTGTGCCTTCTTAAGTATATCCAAGAAGTTTATTCTAGGATGTAAAAAAAAAAAAAAATGTAGTCGCTTAAGGCTTCTTCTTTGCAAAGAAAACAAATTTTGTTTCCTACAGAAAACATTTTCTATCCCCAGGAGATGGATTGGCTTGAGACCACTGGCATCAGAGTTTTGACTTTCTCATTCTGAAATTTTCTAATAACTAATATTTTTATTACTCATTGCTGTTCTTAGTTTTTTTCTTTATGACTGAGAAGATTATTTTAGTCAGTTGATGACTACAATTGAGAATTTTCTAAGCTATTCAGCATAAGAGTTCTTAGGTAATTCTAGTTCCGTGTTTGGAATACCAGACGTCTATACTTCATGCAAAGGCTTATTTGTTTGACCTCAACTGAGCTAAGTGAGTTTATAGCATATTATTTCTAATAATAGCATGTGTTTGAAAATTCCACTAGTTTAAAATAGGTAGATTCTGGGACTAATTCTGGGCTAAATTTTCTTCGCTTAAAATTCTGTGCAAGGAAGGTGAAAGGGTTTGTTTCCAAGGAAACAAAAGCATTCAATTTTCATTGCATAAAATGTTTTCTGCAAGAAAATTCCATAACTAGTCTCCAGGGAGATACTGTGTCATAAGATAGCTCTCACTGGAGATTTTTTCCAAAGGAACACTTTATATTTGTTCCCCCCGAAATCATCCTGTATTTGTGTAATAGTCACTGTGTTGAATTTCAAAAAAATTAACAGCAGAACCATTGTCATCACCTTGTTGGAGTCATAAAATGTACAATTCCAGGGTGATGTGATTGATTTTCCTCTGACTGTTAGGTTATGCTTATATTGGTGTCTAAGTAGCATAGCATATATTCAGGATGTTCACTTGAGAAGAAACAGCCTGTTCTAAGGATGATATTTGTCACCCTGAGGGCCGAAAAAGAACTTCAGCCTTTATCAGTATTTATTTGAAGTTGGAAGTGACTGCTCTCCTTAAAGGAAAATTTGAAACTCGTATAAATAGCCTAGCTTTGCATGCTCTTGTGGTTGAATAGCAAATAAGGAAACCGAGGAAAGGAGTTTCAGCTCCAAAAGGTTTGAGGCTTTGTTCTGACATATCCCTTGTTGGAGTAAGTGGTCTTGCCTATGTGAGTGTTTGTGTTTAGGGACAGTGTGTATCCATCTGGCAGCCTGGACCTGGCAGGTGGTTCAAAAATGTTTGATAGTGGAATGAAAGAATTAATTATACAGTAAGAAGACAAAGTTTTGAATTAGAAAACTGTGGTATTCTGAGCGAGAGAAGCGGCATACTATTCAGAATGAGAAGTCATAGCTTTGCCCCTTACTAATTCTGGGACTCAGAAAGTAACTTAAACCTCTCTGCAAAATAGGGAAAGAAATAGCTACCTCATAAAATTGTTAATTAAGATAATATATATAAAACCCACATTTATTGAAGAGAAATTTCTTTAAAATACGAGAACTAATCCATAAAGAGAAGTGTGAATTCTTACTTCACAAAAGAAATAACTACATAATATGACTTTCTCTTAATTCGGGAGATGTATACCATATGTCTAGTTTCTACTGCAAAGCTCATGTAAAGATGGCCCAACTAATGTGAAGTAATTTAAAACATTACTTTGTGAAGCTAGCCCTATAAGCTAAGATATAGAAATATATATATATATATATTTAATTCTGTGGAAGACTGGACCACTTTTAGCCAAATTCTGATACCACAAATCCCCAAAATTCTGTCTTAAGAGGTCTAACATGGAACTGTCTAATTCAGCCCACTTAGTCTAAACCTTTAATGATGTAAAGTATAGGTTTCAATCAAAGCAGATAGGAAAATGAATCTATTTGTGAAATGGGGACAGGCCCTTCATGGTAGACCAGTAGATCCTCTCTAAAAAGTTTAATCTTTATAATTACATACTTTGTGAAATAGAGACACATGTGACAGACAGTAGCACACAGGAAATAGCAAATACTGACAGCAAGGTGTGGCGTCAGTAAAACATTTACTTATTTATTCTTTTTTGGAGCCCTGGTAGTGCAGTGGTTAAGTGTTAGGCTGCTAACCAAAAGACTGGCAGTTCAAATCCACCAACTGCTCCTTGGAAACCCTATGGGGCAGTTCTACTTTGTCCTATAGGGTCGCTATGAGTCGGAATTGACTCAGTGGCAATGGTTTGTTCTTTATTCTTTCATTCATTCATGTGACAGTGATTTATTGGGTGCCATCTAAGTGCCAGGGACTAAGCTAGATGCTTTCACATACGTAATCTCATTTAAGATCACAAGAAATTTGGCAAAGAAATACTATTAGCTTCATGAAAACCTTAGCGTCACAATGATCTGATCCACAATTGATCATGAGTATGACTAAGGACGGGGCAGTCTTTCATTCTGTTGTGCACAGGGTTGCCATGAGTTGGGGGGCCACTTGAGGACACTAACAACAATAGTGAGTGTTGATAGATGCCACCTGGACCCCCCGGACCCCCCTTAAGGACTTAGCCACTTACTCCCCCAGCTGCTGTCCCCCAGCTGAGTGCTGACAGTTGAAGGCTTTTGGCTGCCTCCTTATCCAGGAATTTCTCTCATCCAAAACAATCACCTTGCCCAAGGTCAAACTCCCCCCTTGGGCAGGTTGCATCCAATGACTGATTGATGTGGGGTATAAAGTCTCGGCACTGAGTCTCGATTCAGGACATCGCTGAAGGGCCATTCCAGTTCCAGAGCCTCTGTAGTGGGGGTTAATGTCTCCCTCTGCCCAGTCCTGTTTCTCTTTCCATTCGTAGGTGCTTTTTACACAAGCACTGGCCAGTAAACCTCCTGCACAGAAATCTTAAAGATGCAGAATCTGGTTCCTGGAGACCCATTTAACAGCTGAGGAATCTGAGGTTAGGAGAATTTTATTTTTTCACTGAAGCCCAGACCGCCGAAACGTGGTGGGATCAGGATGCTTTCTCTTCATCTAATACATGTAAAAGCCTAGCAATTAGAAATAGGATACAGGGCTGGAAATAAGCACCTACCCGGTCAGTTTAATGTCTCAGTCCCAGACTGTCAGTCTGAAGCTCTTAGAATTGCTCAGAAGTGTTGACTAGAGCTCAATATGCAAGCAGGGTGGATCTGTCTAAGTGTCACCTGTACCAGAAGGAGGACAGGAGCTTGGAAAAGATGAAACCTGGCCTAATTTTTGCCAACTGGAAGCAGAACATTTAGTCCATTTGTTTTACTGAGACCTTGTTAATAAGGCAGTTCCACTTATCACATACTTATTTAACCTTGTTATTTTCAATATATAACAAAAAAATTGAACAAATTAATGACCTATAAACAACATAAAATGTTTATGGGAAATCATGTTTTAAAAAAACACCTATTAGTGACATAGAAAACAGGTTCTGATAGAAGAGCTATGTATGTGAGAGAAAATTGTTATTGTTAGGTGCTGTTGAGTCAATTTTGACTAGTAACGACATAATGAAATGAAGCACTGTCCAGAGACAGAAAATTATCATTTATATTGAAAAATATTTATATGTTGCCTTTGAAAGTGGCAGATTTAATACTATTATTAAACATAATATTGTGTGAATACTATATATTTAGCATTTTGAATTTTTCTACTAATAACAAATCAATCAAATCAATAAACATTTATTGAGCAACTACTGTGTACCAGACACTGTTCTAAGCAATAGGGATAGGACAATGAATGAGAGCTGTAGCCCCTCCTCATATTATCTTACTGTGATGGTTAAAGTTGTGTGTCAACTTGGCTAGGCCATGATTCTCAGTGGTTTGGCAGTTATATAATGATGTAATCAACTCCGTGATGGGATCTGCTATGAGCAGCCAGTCAGTTGAAAGGGATTTTCCTTGGGTGTGTGGAGCCTTCCTCCAGTATATAAAAGAATGTTTCAGCAAGGCTATTACCATGGATCCTGCATCTGGCTAATCGTCATTATCTTAGTTATTTAGTGCTGCTGTAACAGAAATACCACAAATGGATGGCTTAAATAAAGAGAAGTTTATTATCTCACAGCCCAGTAGGCTACAAGTCCAAATTCAGGGCATCAGCTCCAGGGGAACACCTTCTCTGTCGACTCTGGAGGAAAGTCCATGTCATCAATCTTCCCTTGGTCTTGGAGCTTCTCTGCACAGGAACCTCAGGTCCAAAGGATGCGCTCTTACTCTTGGTGGTATGAGATTCCCATGTGTCTCTGCTTGCTTCTCTCTTTTATATCTCAAAAGAGATCGACTTAAGACACTATCTAATCTTGTAGACCTCATCAGTATAACTGCTGCTAGTCCATCTTACTATGTCATAGTGATAGAGTTTACAACACATAAGGAAATCACAACAGATTACAAAATGGTACACAATCATACAATACTGGGAATCATGACTCTGCCAAGTTGACAGATATTTTTGGGGGACACAGTTCAATCCATGACAATCATCTCATCTCTGGTTCTTGGGACCTGAGCTAGCAGCTTACCTGCTGATCTTGGGATACACCAGCCTCTGCAGTCTGTGAGCCAGTGGCCTGCTGTCTTACCTGCTATTCTTGAGTTCATCAGCCCCTGCAGCTATGTGAGTCAGGAGAAGCCTCCAACCTTACCCCAGCCCACAGACTTGGGACGTGCCAGCCTCTACAACAGTGTGAGACATTTCCTGGAGATAAATCTCTCTCCATATATATATATATACACACACACACATACATATATAGAGGGAGATATATGTATTTCACTTTTAGTATTTCACTTAAGCCCAGACAGCCAATATGCAGTGGAGTCAGGATGCTTTCTCTTCATCTAATGCATGTTGTAAAAGCCTAGCAATTAGAAATAAGATAACAGCAGTGGAAATAAAAACCTACCTGGTCAGTTTAATTTCTCAGTCCCAGACTGTCAGTCTGAAGCTCTTAGAATTATATGTATATGTATATACATCTCTCTCTCTCTCTCTGTCTCTCTCTCTTT